GCATGTGTTATATAATATCTTAAGGGCACATGGTATACGATAAAGCTGAGACAGAAAGTCTAATGTTAGAAAAAAAATTATATTAAGCTGGACAAAGATAGCTATAAATGTTAGAAAGAGATGGCACTAGCCTCCTATATAGTTTTGGGGGTCGTGTAGAAATGAGTTGTTCAACTCGTACATCTATAAATTTAGTATCAAAATATATTATTTTTAAATGATTAAAGAGATAATTATACTTCATGAAAAGTATGTAACAAACTATTTAGGATGGTTTTATAAAACAATAACACAATAAATATGTAAAAGCATTTAATTCTGTTCATTTAATGTCGGAATAATGGTAAATTCACGTAAGCAATTAAATTTACATTTTTATGCTTAAAAGTTTTAAGTTTTGAATGAAATTGTTATATATTTAAGACATTCAGTCAGAAATCGTAATATACAATAGAAATGAATTAGCGATCGATTACTCCCAAAACCGATGTCGCCACATCTTATCGCAATAATAAACATACGCAATTCGCAATGATATCTAATGTTTCCCATTACATTAGAGGTCGAATTTGTCAACGTCGTGTACGTCGCGTATTACGGTAGAACAAAAGCAGCAAATGTAATTGTACAATACGAAAAGTAATTTAGTGAAAGTTTACAAAGGTAAATATCATAGTATTCATCTAGATGTAAATTAATTTACATACATACATAAACACTCACGCCTGTCACCCAGAGGGGTAGGCAGAGACTACAGACTTCCATTTGGCACGATCCTGACACACCTCTCTCGCCTGCTTCACATCCATACACCTACGCATACATGCTCGTCGGTTAAGGGTACTCCTAATTTGGCCCGTTTTCAATAAATCGCCAATTTGGTCGATAAATTTTCGCCTAGAACGTCCCTTTCCGACTCTGCCATTCACTTCTGCAACATAAATTTTCTTTGTCACTCTTTCCTCATTCATTCTTTCCACATGACCAAACCACCGAAGCATTCCTTTCTTAATCCTGGTCACGACATCATCTTGCAAACCACACTCTTCTCTTATTACACAATTTCTTACCCTGTCGTTCAGATTCAGCCCTAACATACTCCTTAAGGACCGCATTTCTACTGCGTTGATTCTACTCTCGTGCCTCTTCTGCCACACCCAACTTTCACTACCATACGTTAAAGTAGGGACCAACACAGCATTGTGAATTGCCATACGTGCCTTTTTTGACACATTTTGACTCTTCACAATAGAGTGCAGGGCCCCATTTACTCTATTTCCCGCATTCACTCGTCGTTCTATATCCTTATCATATCTCCCATCCCCGCTAAATACGCAGCCCAAATATACAAACTCATCTACTTGCTCGATCAACTCCCCTTCTATTCTTATTTCACAAATCGTTTTACTTTCTTCTCTTTCAAAAACCATAACCTTCATCTTACTTGCGTTCACTTTCATACCCCTTTCTTTTAATGATCTGTTCATTAATGTAACCATCATTTGCAAGTCGGCCGCCGACGACGCAAGGATAACTTGATCATCGGCGTACAAAAGGCATTTGACGGTTAACTCACCCATTCTTAATCCGCATTCTTCAACTTTCAAATTTTGCAAACAACTGTCCATAAATAGGTTGAACAGCCACGGGGAAGCCACACAGCCCTGTCTGACGCCTTTATGGATGTCAAACCAGTCCGAGTAGACCCCGTTGATCCTAACACAAGCACTAGAGTCCTTATAAAGAGACTCCAATGCCTGTATCAAGCCAGCGCTCAACCCAAATGAGTTCAGTGTTTGCCATAGCACATCCCTATCCACTCTGTCATAGGCCTTTTCCAAGTCCATGAACGCACAAAAAACCTTTTGGTTTTTGGCCAAAAACTTCTCCGCGATCATGCGGATTTAAATTAATTTAATAAATGATAATTAATAAATAATCAACTAACTGATGAAATGTTATGCCTTTATTAGTTTAATTACATGTCCTTGATGAGTTTTTACAACCGATTATGCTGCAGTGCACCATTATAAATTTATAATAACAAAAATTCACGTACGACGTTCCCCGCCGTAGACAGAGAATTTCTCTGTCTACGTTCCCCACACAACTAAATCACAAAATGTTGAATCATGTTCGTCAACCCATACATGCGGCGACAAGGTCACTCGTCTATGCGACTTCTATTGTGTTAATATTACGATTTCTGTGGACATTCATGTTTATTGTTTAAAAATTGTATTAAGAAAGTTTTCAGTCGACATTTAAAGTTTATTAACGAGCAACGTCAATGCCCATAAACGCAACAATTATTGCCTTAAATTTAACGCGATAAAATGAGTGGCTACACTTGAACGGTCAACGTAGTTTCAATTTCAAGGCCGTTGAACGTCATTAAATTTGCCGTTGAACGGCGTTAAATTTGCCGTTGAACGGCGTTAAATGTTTCGACCGGGGAAGGACCACGCTCTCACAGAATACCAGCGTAAAATAGTAGCTTAATGCTGCTGTGTTTCGTATGGTGAGTGTAGAGAACCGGAGACTCTTTTTACTGGAAACGAGGGATTCCATCCTAGTCCTCACGGGTGACATCTGCATTTTGATTCGTAATCGAGGATAGATGTAGATGTCTATGGGCTACAGCATCCACATACCATCAGGTGGACTGTGTACTCGTTTGTCACCCTATCCTATAAAATAAAAATACAAAGAAAAGAAATATACAAAGAAAAAGAAGATGGAAAACCATCTTCTTTTTCTTGTAATGCTACAAATGCACAGGAAACGTACACTGTAAATCTATTTATGTTTTATTTTGTTTTCCCGCACCAAAATTGCATTATAAAGACGTCCAATGGTTTAAGCTAAATAATAAGACAAACGTAAATATATTTTAATGAAATAATAACTAATAAGCCAATCATAAATACTGGTCAAGTGTGAATTAGATACATATACCCAGAGTTTGGTACCACTGTACACTATGAATTTTGACCTGCAAAAATTGTTTTTTTTTCTCCTGCTTATTTTTCTTACTTTCATAATTTTTTTTAATTCAATCTCGAAAAGCTTTTTCATTACTCCACTCCATCGCAGCCATACGTGCAACCCCGTGGCACTCAGCGTGCACAATGAAACAAACGTAGTGTGGCCACTTCAACGCGATAATTCGCGCGTTAATCCTTTGATGTACCGCCACTCGAGTTATCGGCAAACGGGAAACGGCATTGTTAATGCCGTTGTCAAATTATCGCGTTAATTCGTGGCCACACCTACATTCAACGTCCATCAACGCGATAATTAACGGCATTTCTCCTTAGTGTAGCCGCAGCGTAAGAAATACCTAGCTTGTAAAAATGTTATATTTTGTTAAATGATTTATTATTTTTTTATGTGATGTTAATCTTTTAATTACTATTTTAATATGTCTTTGTTGTATTTTGTGTGAAACTTAATTGTACGATGATATTATTATGGGCAATAAAGATATTGGGTAATAAATGGAAATGTGATAGTGAAAATTAGCATCTAGCTTAGATTGAAATGGCGCATGGCGCACGGTTTTCTTACGGTTTAACTTCCAAGTTGGGTTAGTAATTCGCTAGATTTGCAATTCGTTTGGGACTTCGACCGTTCTAGGAATTATAATCAAAAAAAAAATTAAAAGTAAGGAAAATAGTGAAAGTTCAGTATCACATTTCCAAGGGGAATTTTGTTCAAGATCCTTCAGTGTTCACCCTATTAGTAGGGTAAAGGAGATACAGTCCACCTACGATAGGCGTCAAGACTTTTAAGAAAACGGGCTTGTGATCGGAATCAAACGTCTTCCTCTGGGGTCACGCCCGCCTATTTGCCCCGAGCCCAGCGCGGTGTTGTATTGGTCTGTGAATAGAAGGTCAATATTTGGTTGATCCTTGATCGGAGGCCCAAGAGGAAGAGAACAGATCGTTTTAGCTTCAATTTTATATATACATATACAAGGAAAAAACAATTTCTTTTACGTAGTTAAAATATGTTTATTAATCTGTAATATTTACAATATTTAAAGCTTAAATCCTAGTATCAACCATTTTAGCATTGAAAATTGTAATGAACGTAAACTGCATTTTTCCTCATTCGTTTGTCCAAATTTATACTTTGTTTAAGGTTTTAATTTATAATAATGTTTTGATGTCTTACAATCGTTTAACAAGAAATTACAGTTTCGTTTCCAAATAAATTTATCCAGAGCGTACTTTTGCCCAATCGTATACTTTATTATTATGTCGTTAAGAAATAAAAAATAAATTTAAATTACAAGTTATTTCTATGCGAAAACAGAATCTTAAGTATTAACATGGATTAGTTTTGTAAACAATCGAATTTACAATGAGTCCCCCCACAATAAGAAGTTCGTTGAAGGGGTAACATCCACACCCATTTTTTATGAGTCACAACAACGAGCAACATAAGAGCTCACCCGGCCGTATTCTTGATCGCGACACCTGCAACCAGCCAACGAAGAAGGCCACAGATAATATCCTTAAGCCATTTCTATCAAACCGAGAACACACAAGCGGATGTTTTCCTACTTAGCGGTAGGAACAGATAACAGGTTGGTACTGGTTGGTACCGACCCGGCACAGAGCATATATATCCTGACCCCGACAGAAAGCAACCTACATTAAATGGTTTATTTTTATTATTTTGTCTATGATCATTTTCTAAAGCTAGTCCAATATATTTGTATGACGGTAATATTATAAGCAATAGCTTGATTTTACATTTAATCATTTATAGTGGATGACCTTTTTTACCGTCTGGAAAAAGTAGGATGTAACATGTGAACGGAATAGAAGCCTATGGCACTGGTATTTTCCAGATGGTAAAAAGGTCATCCAGTATATTCAATGTTCTTAATGTTACAGAATTATTAAATTGAAATATTTTGTTTTAAGAAAGTGTTGTTACAATATCGTGAGGAGTCAAGTTAGCCGCAATTAAAAAATAATGGCTCCCGCTTATTCATGATTACTTTTGACCATCGAACTGAAATTAAAAAAAAACACATTTTTAAGAAACTTACCTAGGTAGGTACAACATTATTTAAGTCGGGAGTAAGAAATCCATTAAACAATCATATCAATCTTATGCAAAATTTCAGACATTATAATGTCATCTCTTTTTCATTTTATGCCCATTCCCATTATGGGCATAAAATAATAATTCACAAGAAAATCCTGTGGTAATCAAAATACTCAAGACCTTTAATAGCGATTGCCACATCTGCCAAACTTAACCTTACATACAATTGTTCAGCCTATTCATACATAGCCTAAGGCGCAGCTCCAGTACTTTTTGTAAGAAATTAGGATGAGAAAAGAGCACAAAAAAGGTAAATGGATGTTCTGGCTTAAGCTATTAGTATCTTTCGCATATAACAGATCAGCAAAGTACAAATAATGCAACAAAATACCGCAAGTTATGGATAGTATCACTTTTAGTCAAAAACCATACCGTACTTAAGCTAAAAGCTTTTTTTTTCAACTAAAATAATCTTAGCAAAGCACCAATGAAATTGTCTATTACAAGTGCTGATTTATCACGTGCTCGTTGGAGAAGAAAAACATCGTGAGTATAGTTTGTTCGCTTAGATACGGTCGTCTTGGTGTCATTCCGCCTTGGCACGTGCCGTATCTTGTCAAAGGCGCCGCCACGACATCAAAGTGGACCTTTGACCGTGCGCCGTACACCCGAAGGAGCATTTGACATTCTAAAATGAAGCGCCGCGCCGTAGTGAAAGGTTCTTTGCTACCTGCTAGGTACCTTACTTGAGTTTATCATTTATATTCGTATTTTATTACAATAACCATAGTAATCTATTTTATTCTTCGAACAGAGAAACATTTGTATCACAAAAAGAATTGAATAAAAGCAAAATAACAAGTGCGCCTCCGGGTGTACCGACACAATCTTAGTGAACAGACTATAAGCCTTCATGTCTCAAAAAGTATTCTAAAGACTATAAGACATGCGAAGTCTGCAACATGCCCTGTAGCTTTAAGTAGTAGTAGCACCGTACTAGCCGGAACTGCATCGCAGCGGAACTGAATGACACGACGCGTCAAAATATTCTTTACATGAAATTATATGAGATAACACGCACTAGTCGGCAATGGAACTACACTGCAGCAGAACTGCGCGGCAAAGTTGATCAACTGACCAACTCGTGTCGCTCAGTTTCGCTGCGGTGCAGTTCCCCCTAGTGCGATCCTACTTTTAGAGCAATGCGGGACTAATTACTTCAAAATTCTTAGAATTAAGAGCATACCTTTCCGCAGCTGCGAAACGTATAAAGACTACTTTAGAAGCAATTAGCATTTTTATTAATAAAACAAGTGAAAAATGAACTCACAATCTATCTCGTTGGAAGTGGTTTCTGCAGCCCATGAACACGCGAACTTAAAACAAAGAAGGTTTCAGACGCGTTGTCACCTTTGAGAAATATGACGCGTTGTCACCCTTTCGACCGAAACACAGCAGTGGTATTGGTCGTCGGAAATAGGTAAGAGGATATCTACCCGAGCGGACTCCTATGTGATATTTAAATCAACGTACTTATATGGACCTGGGCCGGCCACCTGCATCTGTCAACTATTCGCGTGTCTTCCCAGGGTCATCACTCTAACATCTGGGGGTGGGGGTGGAGGACCGTAAACCCATCTGCCAAGTTTGCCAACTATGGCATACATTCCTCTAACAGAATACCAGCGTGAAACATTAAAGCGCTGCCTTGTTTCGTATTCCAACTTAGTCCTCAGGCTTGACAACGCAATTAAATTTTAACTTTCATGTTGCATTCATTTACCATCAGGTGGATTTGATCCCAGTTTGTTACATTTTATAAAAAAAAATTGATTACTTTGGCCTCATGGATCAAATACGGTACGTTAGCAACAAAAAATTAAAGAACGTGTCTAGCCTAGTACTGTAAAAAACTAACCCAAGCCACCGTAAATCAAAAAATAATTGAAAAAATCTTACTTCTCTTCAAAGAAATCAACAAGCGGGCTCCATTTTTTCGGCAACTTCGTCTGATGGTATTTTTTCCATCGATCTTCTATTAAGTCTGACACAGATGCGTTCGCGACTTTAAGGAAACCACAGCTGTTGGTGTAAGCATCAACCAACAGCTGTTCGTAGAAATTTGGGACGAAGTCGTTAAGGCACTCCCGCACTCCGAAAAGCGTAGCGTTCATGTCTTTCGCGTGTTGACGGGTCTTTATCTCAACTATAGCGATGAGGCTCGCTTCCATTGTTTCATTGAAGCTGATGATAGCAATAAAAAAAATTATATTAGGTAACGTGGTAGAGAAACATGCTGCAGCTATATTATTATTGCAGAAGGAATAGGTCGGCTCGACCGCGGAAGGACCACGCTCTCACAGAATACCACCATCAAATAACAGCTCAATGCTGCTGTGTTTCATATGATGAGTTTACAGAACCGGAGACCCCTTTATTTCTGGAAATAGGGCATTCCATCTTAGTCCTCACGGGTGACAACGCATCAGCATTTTGATTCTAAATCGAGTATTGATGTACCTAGATGTATGTGGGCTACAGCATGCACCTACCATCAGGTGAAGTGGTGGTAATGGGCTTGTAACCGAAGCATGTACCGTCTACTACGACCTTGATGATCCGACCTGCAAGCAAACTGGTGATCCAATTGCACAATTTCTCGGAAAGCCCATAGGAAGGAAGCTTCGTAAGAAGCGCTTTGTGCCAAACCCGATCGAAAGCCTGCATATCAAGGATATGTTGTAAACCGGTAACATTAATTGCTATGTGGACGACAGCACTGGTGATGCTTTATACGCCGGCCGTGCCAATATTTCTCAGGAAAACGACGCCGAGTACCGGAATAATATAATAAACGTATGAAAATAAAATAGTATCCTCGACTCACAGCACAGCCTGGTGTAATAAGCAGTGAGCTGTTGCGACTTCATCAGGCAACTCACTGTAGCATTTGTTCACAATCTCGAAGTTCCTAGAGTCGTGGAAGTTGTAGATTACGTTGTGAAATTGCTTTCTGATCAGCTCGAGTTTCTCCACTGGTTCCTTGAGACAGTGCTCTGTTATGTTTACGATCTGTGCAGGTAGACAATGAAATTAGTGTTTTTAAAGAATACTGAAATTTAAATTCTGTAAACTTATGAATAAAGGTAAATTGCCATGAACTTAAAGCGAACACCTTAAATTCTTCTCTTTTCTTTTTTTATTATAAAAATCCAATGGGACTTTCTCGTACTTCGTTCAGTTAATATACATAAATTACACAAAGACAATTTATCTAGATCCAACAATAGACAATTACTTGTGAGTCACATTTAGAATTACAACACGTATACTACGTACTTGTTCCGTAAAGTAAAGTAAAGTAAAGTTACAGCCTATATACGTCCCACTGCTGGGCTCAGGCCTCCCCTCATTTCTGAGAGGGTTTAGGGCAAGGAAGTGTCCGCCGCGCTGCCCAAATGCGTGTTGACGAACTTCACATGTCTTCGAAATATTTTTTTTTCTTATTCCTCAGACATGCAGGTTTCCTCACGATGTTTTCCTTCACCGCCGAGCACGTGGTAAATCAGCACTTAAAATTGCAATCAACAATTTCATTGGTGCCGGCGGGGATCGAACCCGGGTTACTCGCGTTCTGTTATGTTTACAGCGAGCGTTAACCACTGAGCTACCACGGCTACGTGTACTTGTTCCGTGCGGTATTCGAACCCGCGCCCCTCGGCGCTGCAACTCAATGGTAAGCCATTGCGGTACGGAGACGTCAACCATCTACAATTTTATGCCTATTGCTTTTTGCATAAAATTTATCTGAACTGTGTAGGGGTGGTGTAAGAATATCCACTATCCCATATTGTCTTGTGAGTCTTGTGAGAGCGTAAAATAGTGGCTTAACGCTACATTGTTTCGTATGGTGAGTGTAAAAAACCGGAGATCCTTTTTTACTGGAAACGAGGCATTCCATATTGATCCTCACGGGTAACAACGCATCTGCATTTTGATTCGTAATCGAAGATACGTAGGACACTCAATATGTTTTGAGATATACAAAAAGTATTCTAGATACTATTTTACATCTTTTCTTCCTCGGCGCTTGAAGAAACCTTGCCTTTTATTTTTTCTTTGACTCTTGGGAACAAAAAAAAATCACAAGAAGCTAAGTCAAGGCTGTAGGGTGGATGACTTAGAGTTTCAACACCAGTGTTGCGGACGGCGAGTAAAATCGTCCATCGCCCCGCACCGTACCCACGTCGACACGTCCCGCGCGCCCCGCGCGGACGACACTCCCACTAACTTGGTGCTTACGGCGCACCGAACTACAAAATAAAAGAAGCGTTTCTGGCGCCGATTCTTCATTCATTCGATCGGCGGCAATTCGAGCGGCGGTAACTCAAGCAACAGCAAGCAACCCGAAAAGAAGAATCAACAAGAATCCCTATTAGTGTTAACTACTGCAATTGTAAATAGTGTAAATATAGTGTGTCATTTCGTCAAGTAATTTAATTTCTACTCAACCCTTTTTATAGTCAGACAGATGTCACAGTTTTAATTCAGTTGCAAAGTAAATAGTAACTCCTAGCGTATTAATAGAAATATAACACAATAAATTAAATACAGTCCACTCGCTTTCATCCCCTACATTTCTTTGGTCCATCGTCGCCGGATTGAAGACAGAAGATAGAAGATTATCTCAAATCTTTCCCTGTTTCTGAATCGCCGTCAACCATTAACCAAAAGCGTGGGAAGCGTTGCAGGAAAATTAATAGAACTTTAACATTTTTTAATATTGAGCAGTTGGTTTATGGACTTCTATTTTTAAATAAATTTGCTTTTTAGAAATATACAACACGGGTGCGTTCCATTTTTAAATTTCGAATATCTCAAAACTTAATGAGTGACCTACGTATATGTAGTTATCTACGGGCCACAGCAACCACTTACCATCAGGAGTGAACTGTGTGCTCGTTTGTCACCCTATCCTATAAAAAAACCTGCTAAGCGTGGCAACTAAGGCAAATAGTAACAATTCCCCCTAGGAGGCCACCTATGGGAGGAGCCTATGTTGAATGTCGTCTACAATGTCCTGGGACAATGCAGGTATCGGGCCTCGGGGTAACCCCCATTGCCCGGGTGTCCTCATATCCCATTACTATGGGACAGTCCTTTAGCCTATTTTAGGCTCGATAGCATACACGGGTTTTTTCCGTGGTGGCGGTAAATTATTTTTCCGTAGTAACTACGGAAAAAGGTGGTTATTTGGTAAGTCTGAGTTGGCCTTTCTGCGGCATTGTGGGTTGTTACTCGACTCTCTAATCACATATAGAGAGGAGTTCTCTTGGAAGAGGTCGCCCGTCCGGTGGCCGGGTGTGTAACGGCGCAAAGCCGTTAAGATGTTCGTGTGGCCCGTTATCGGCACGGTCAAACATACCGCGCGCTAACCGGGCAACGAAGTCGGTGATGTTCTCGATCTTCAAGTCGGCCGCTATCACGTCGTTCCGGACGTAGCGACCTGTTCCGACGATCGTCCTTAATGTCAGATTCTGCTGGGCCTGTAGTCGCCGCCTCAGAGGGTCGCTCAGAAGTGCGTACCAGGCCGGTGCAGCGTAGGTGATGATGGTTACTTGTATATCCGGAGCTTGGTTCGTATGGGCAGCTTGGATGCCAGGACCGGCAAGAGCGTCGCCCGCGCACATCGGGCCCGGCGGACGACGAAGTCGACGTGCGCGGTCATGCGCAGCGTCCTGTCGATCCTGCACCCAAGGTAGGTTACAGCCTTCTGGTACGCAATATTCTGGCCGTTGAGGGTCAGCGGAGGTGGAAACTTCCTGAGACGGCGAGTGAGCAGAGCGATCGTCTTACCAACGTTGACGACCATCCTCCACTCATCCAGCCATGGTGGCAGCAGGTCCAGCAGACGCTGCATCTTGGCAGTGGCTATGTGGGCTCTTCTGGACGAGGTGAAATAGGCGCTATCGTCCGCGAATAGCGCCAGCTCAACGTCGTCCTCCCACTCTTGAAGCCTGCCTGCCAGTGTAGGTATGTCGTTGGTGTAAGCCGCGTACAGGACTGGAGACAAACAGCTGCCCTGTGGGACGCCGGCTTTGATGGTTCTCGTTGCGGATTCGGCGTCCTCTACGCAGACGTAGAACTTCCTGTCTTCCAGGAAAGGCGCTATTAACCGCAATATAGCAAGAGGGACACTTGGTCTGTTCTTTCAGCTTATATAATAGTCCTGCGTGCCACACCCGGTCGAACGCCTTCTCGATATCGAGAAAGACGCCCAACGATATGCGGCCACGATTGTACTCTGCCGCAAGCAGGTGCAGCACTCTAGTCAGTTGAGTGACTGTGGAGTGACCCCTCCTGAATCCGTGCTGCTCCGCCCGAAGTTGGATGCACGGACGGAGACGTCTTAGCAGCAATCTTTCAAACAGTTTAGCTATATGTGGTAATAGCGTGATCGGCCTGTAGTTGGCAGCTCTACGCCTGTCCTTCCCGGGTTTCGGCAAGACGATGATTTTGCCTTTTTTCCAGTCCTCCGGGAAGTGGGATGTCCGCAGTATCCCATTGTAGAGTCGACCAAGCTCTACTATGACTCTATTGGGCAGCTGTCGGAGTGCAGCGTTGGTAATCCCGTCGTGCCCCGGCGCCTTCCTCGGTTGCAGGCAGGTTACTGTCCTCCGCAATTCTGCGGGGGGAGATGAACCAATCTCCTGCAAGAGGCGGCGCGGCGACGACAGAACCCGTAGCGACTTTCGTTCCGGGCATGAAGCTCCATAAACTCCGCACTTGCTGTATTCGGCATAAATTGCTCCTCGAAGTGCTCGACTAGGATATCCGCTCTGCCCTTGGCATCGTAGCATCGTTTGCCCGTATTGTCAGTCAGCGGGCAAACGGGAGGTTTGGATTTGGTCAACTGCCGGTTCAGTCTATAGAGCGACGCATCATGCTCTTCCGCCTTCTGGATGCGCCGATCCCAGGCCTCTCCTCTGAAGGCCTGGCATTGCAACCGACAGTTCCTCAGATAAGGTGTTCAGCTGTGTCTTAATTCTGGGACAGCGAGTACGCGCCCAGAGCTTTCTCAGCGCCCTTTTGCGCTTGATCTGCACGCATATCTCACGCGGCAGATCGTCTCGCCTTGCTGTAATCGGGACGACCGTAGAAGCCGCGTGGAGGGCTTCCTTGATGTTGTTGGTAATTCTAGTAGCAGCGGCCTCTACGTCGTCCGCTGTGCTTATAGGATGGTGTGCTGGAGGTCTCTGCTGAAGATGTTGACAGTAGAGCCTCCAGTCGACACGGGTTTTAAAAGCTCTAGGCGGCGTAGTCACTGCCTTTAGGCCAAGGGTTATCAGTAACGGGAGGTGCTGTGAAGGAAGGTCGTACAGCACTTCTACCACTATCGGATAGTTGACGTTCCTAGTGAGCACGATGTCTAATACATCCGGATGCCTCCGTGGGTCAGTAGGAACGTGAGTTGGTTCCTCGGGACCTAGAACGTCGTACTGGTTCTTTTCTGCATCTTCGTATAGCTCAAGACCCGGCGGGGTGATCACTCTGGACCCCCACGCCGGGTGTTTGGCGTTCAGGTCCCCGGCGATGATTGTAGGTGTATCGCTCCATCACCGTCCGGATGTCTGAGGAGCAGAATGGAGTCCCTGGCGGGCGGTATGCTGCATATATCCTTAGTTCCTCGCCCGCCGCCTCCATTCTTATGCCGATTGAGCGCATTGTCTGGTAGGATGGTAATTCCAGCTCTTGGTGGACGATGTCCCTCCTCACTTGAACCGCCGTCCCTCTGTAGGCGGCCCCTTGAGAAGTGACCTCGTCCCTTCTGTAGATATGGAAGTTTGGCAGCTTTATTTGCGTCTTTAGATTCAATATTGTTTCGCCCAGCAGTATGATATGTATGTCCTGTTGCTGGGCGACAGTGCGGAGTTCATGCAGCTTCTGCCGTATACCGTCCGGGTTCCAGTACATTAGGCGCAGGTTATTCTCCTCCATAGTGCCTGGCCAGGAGGTTTGCCAGCGCCTTCATGATCGCTGTTACGGGGTCAGTCCCGGCTCTTATATCGGCCAGGACTTGCGTGCCGACCTCGATGGCAATGCCAACTAAGCGCTGGATTGCATCAGCTGTTTCGAGGCCGGCCGTCGGTGGTCTCCTATATGAAGGCGTTGGTGCTAGTCTCGGGCGTTGGTCTTCTTGCTTTTGGGTGGAGCGCGCTCTGTGTGTGGGTCGGGCTCTCTCTACGGGTGGGGCCCTCTCCTGCACTCTACCCACGCCCTTTTTGGTGGTCTCCTGTGTAACCTGCGCTTGAGAGGCTGTTGGTCCAGGTGTCGGGGTAGAGGTAACAGCCCGAGGAGGCTGCGACTTCTTTCTGCTTCTCTCCCGCCTCCTCTTCTTTGAGGGTTGCCGTTCTGTGGCAGGGTTGGCGGGAGGTTGCAGAGTCGCCCCGGTGGTTGCCCTTTCTTCTACGGGTTCCACCGTTTCCTTATGTGGTACGGGTGGGGGGGGGGGCTGGTTGTCTGCCCTTCCCCGTGATGGTAGCCCACCCGTCTTTCTGGATGGTGATGGCTTTAGGGCGACTCTGGGGGATCCTTTTCGGGTCCTCCGGGAGTAGCCCCGGTAAGGTAATCCCCTGTCTTCGTGCAGTCCTCCTCAGGACTGGACAGCGACGGTCATTGGCTGTATGGTTCTTACCGCAGTTGGCACATGTGGGTTCCTCTTCCCTACCCCGAGGGCAAAGGCTCGCTATATGCTCCCCGGCGCAGCGTACGCACTTCACCGGCCTGAAGCAGTTAGCTGAGGCGTGTCCAAAGGCCTGGCAGCGGTGGCATTGGGCCGGTCCTGCTTTCCTTTGCCAGGCCTCAATAACTACTCCTCTCATATAGAGTAGTTCGTCAACTTCGTATAATCTCTTGAGCTGCTCCAGGCTCAGGTGGTCAAACTGGGCAAAGTAGACGCATCCTGGTCTGCCCCTTCGTGGTGGAATCGCTTTAACGTATTTCACCGGGAAGCCCTTTGCCTTTATAGCCTCCTCTATGGTACTGGTATCGGTCCCCATTGGTAGGCCCCGGATGCCCACTTTAGTGGGCTTGTCTTCATCCGGGGTATAGCAGTACCACGACATGTTAGGTGTTGCCTTGGAAAGTTCAACCATATAACGTTGAACAGTCCTAAATTCAGTGGCGCTCTGTGGTGTAAATCGAACTCCCTTCCCGAACGGACGGGCATTCAATGGGTGGCCCAACATTCTATTGAGCTCCTTGAAATGCCTCGTCCAATCCGGGAGGCATTCAGCCACTATGGGCGGATATCTCGTTTTCTCCTCCTGGTCGGCAGGCTTGTCAGAAGTCGCTGCCGCCGGTTTGGGTCGTGGTACTGCTGGCGCAGCTACCATATGGGCGTAGCTAGTAGATGGCCGTTGGCCATCATCCAGCGGACGCCCGGACGGATTTTCGGTTGTCTTCCTAGGCGACGTGGACGGCGAGTGTCCAGCCGATGTATTCGGGGCTAAGGTCGCATAGGTTGTGGCACTCCAACCGTACGACCCTTCTCCTCCCTGCTCTAGATCCACAGCTTCCATGCTGGAGTGATGTTCCTCTGATCTAGGGGGAGTGGGTTTAGTCGGCGATGGCGACTTCGGTTGCGATCTCCTTATTGGTCGTTGGTCATGTTCCTCCTCGGATGACGAGTAATCCGAGGAGTTGGAGGATCCTAGGCATTGTCTTTTCTCCTGCAATGATGCTGCAGTCTCAGGCGGAGTGTGCCTTCCACGACTTCTTAGCCCGCTGTCGTTGGGGAACCGGTTCCAGCCCAGTCGTACCTTCAGGTACGATGGGCGAGAGCGCGGTCCTCGGTGCGGGTCCTTTTCCTGGAGATAGGGGTTTCCTAGTCGGGATCTGCGAGTAGGAAGACACTACTCGAGTCCTTTCCGGATTGAAGATGTCCCGGTATGCTATCGGTCGATCCAGAATGCTTGTTCGGTCCGGTGGTTTTCTGGTTCTCGGTGGTGGCTCCCCCTTATCATTGTCCTTGTCGGACATGGTGAACCTACCTAAGAGTCGTAGTCTAACTAAGGCGCAGCCGATCGGCTGTAATGCGCGACGCGGATGGAGGTTGCAACTAAGTTGGCGTAGTCACTTGGGGCACTGCCTACCCCTTTGTCAACAAAGGGTTGGGGGAAGTGCGACGGTGGCACTTTAATACACGACTAGGCACAGGATGCACGAAGCGCATAAAGTGCCAAGAATCACCTAGGGGCCGGTGACCTCGACGCCTCACGGAATCACGGGACTCAACGATCGGCGGAGTTTGTCGAACCGGCGGTTATTTGCAGCCACTGCTAACTACGAAATAACGCACACCTAGGAGATCCTTGAGCCTATGTTGAGCAGTGGACTTTTGATATGACGTAACAGTGACTGTGCGGGGAGCAAGTTAACGTTTTCCTACGTACACATTGTAGCCCAGGGTCTTGACGTAACGTTTGTTACGCTTGTTTGGTCCGCCTTGAGTTTTTGTATCTTTATATAATATAGTACCTGCATGTGTATTCAATTTTTAAACAATTACAAAAAATAATTGGTTATAAATTGAATGGATTTATGTCTCCAAAGATTTTTTAGATAATTGTCAAGACAATTGTTTTTAAATTATAATTTGCATACACTTGCAGAGATGAAAGTCAATAGAAATGTGGATTAAAATTCAATAAATAAAATGAATAAATATTTGTCTTTTAGAATTTTATTCATTTTATTTGTTGGATAATTTTATAGTTTAAATTTTCCAAGAATACAGTATTTCGCACATCGCAGCATGTATCGAATATTTTTAAGGAAACGCCTAGAACTTTTCTTCGATTAATCAATACGATGATTGACACAAGACTGATGACTGATGACTCACATGCAATCCCGCCGTACATAGACGGGGGGATCGCTTGTGAGAAAAAAAATTATGTCTCTCATCAGAGGCGGATTAAATTTCGACAGCGCACTAGGCTAGAATCTCACCGGCACCCCTCTAGCGGCCATATATTATAAATAACTAATAAGCTTGCAAATAAATTATAACCTAGTTTAATAGTTGCAAAATAATTAGAACACGAGTACCCTTAACAGGTGGACGTGAATCAAAAATTTGACGAGAGTGATGGCGATGGTAGGAGTAATTAAGACCAATTTTTTTTCGTTTAAAAACTTCCGCGCTCGCCCCTAGGTTCTTGCCTAGCGCCACTGTCTCTCATTCAACATGATCTCGTATTACTTTGGCAATAAACCAACGTCAATTGTACAAACCTCTTCCATAGAAATTACGTAATGCGTGAAATCATGAAAATATTTGATTTTATAAAATTTGATGATAGCACTTCTAAGTTCTTTTGCCATCTCTTCATTAACGATGGTTACTTGATCTAAGAAAGTGTCCATGACATGCAGCGATCTATTCTTTAGCCTTTCGTAGCTATCACGCCCTTGGATGAACAGGTTCTTGGTAACAGAATACGCTTCGGTCACGAGGTGATACTTTTCGTCGATGTTATGGAACATCTCTTTCGCGCACTAAAATAGTAATGATATTTATTAATAGAAGACAACAGACAATTTTTTTTTTTCATAAGAGAAGGCAAACGAGCATGCGACTCATCTGATGGTAAGTGACTACCGGTACCGCATCCATAGATTAATGTATATATATACTAGAGACCATGTACAACTGCAGATACGTTGCCAGCCTTTGGAAAAAGAGAAGGCTGACATTCTGTCTGAAAGGGAGTATGGTAGTTACACAAAAAAAGGAAATGTATTAAAACACTAAAAACTTACCTCTTTTAAGTACAAAAGCGATAATAAAACAAACAACACATCACAAACTTTTGTTAACTGATTCATCACCAATGCATTTTACTTTAAACATGTCTTCTAACCTCTATATAATTAAAGTTTAGTCGTTTTATTTTTATAAAAATAAAAAAATAACTAAACTACTTTGGTGTATGCTAGGTACATAAAAATGGCTGCACACGCATTTTCCGCTATTTGTGAATCAAACGTTATTAATTACGTAGTTACATAAGGATATACCGTATAACCTATGCCAATAATGCCTATCTATAGATATAAATAAACAAAACTTGATGTTTGTTCGTGATTTTGGAATTAGGACACTTGTTTTGCTGTGTTGGTGACGGCTTAAAGAGATCCATCATCTCATCTCTTGGGAGGGAAATGCATGAAAGCGAAAGATCTCTTGCGGTCTCCGAATGATCGCAATGCAATGAGGGTCAATAATCTGATCACTAGATGTCACTGGTTGGCACTGAAGTGAAGTTATTTTTTACACAATGTCATTATGCTAATGGGTCGGTACGACCACGGAAGGACCACGCTCTCACGGAATACCAGCGTGAAATAGCATTGATTGCACATTGATTTGTGCGCTGCACGGGCTCTCAGTGCTCCACTGGCAATGACGCCCCAGGGCTTTTTTTAGAATTGTGAAAAACGAGCACATAATCTACCTGATGATAAGTGGATGCTGTAGCCCGTAGACATAGACATCAAATGAATAAGTATACGTAGTCACTCCTGAGGACTAAGATGGATTGCCTCGTAAAAATCTCCGGTTCATTCTACTTCACCGTACGAAACACAGCAGTAGTGAGCTGCTATTTTACGCTGGTATCCTGTGAGAGCGTGGTCCTTCATCGACCCATTCGCGCTACACGCATAATATAGCTGTAGCATAGCACTACCGAGAACATAAATTCCAAAATTCCGGCGTACAAGTCGCGGTATATAGTTTGTATGTGGCGTATCAAAGCATGTGGTTAAAATACAATCATAATTTTATTGCTTTTATAAGTTAAGCTAAGTTAAGTTTTAATTACATTGTACTACGCATACAGCAATAAAATACATGTAGATGTAAGAACTACAAAATTATCAATACAATGACTCAGATCAACAAAGAAGGATGAAACGCTGCGTATATTTAAGTCAAAACTATGATTAAATTATGTAAGAACTCGCACTTAAATATATGTTAGTGCGAGTTCTTACATAGTAAGTCTTAGTAAATACATACGTTGTATTATTTTGTTGGTATAACTCTCGAAGGTAAATCGTCAGTCCTAATCTAAACTAGCAAGCCGACTAAGCTCTGCAAGGCATTTTTTTTTGTAGAATAAGGTAACAAACGAGCACACAGTGCACTTGATGGTAAGTGTATGCTGTGGCCGATAGACATCTACATTTATCCTCGATTAAGAATCAAAACACGGATGCGTTGTCACCCCTGAGGACTAAGATGAAATACCTCATTTCCAGTGAAAAAAGGTCTCCGGATCTCTACACTCATCATACGAAACACAGCAGTATTAAGCTGCTATTTCACGTTGGTATTCTGTGAGAGCGTGGGCCCTCCCCGTTCAAGCCGACGCATTCGTGCTACAACTAACATAGCTGCACCGTGGCTCTACTACGTATGAATTACACGGCCAATACACGGTAATCCCTCACGGATTATCTCGAATACAAAGTAAATAAAACAAAAATTGATATAAATCCATACTAATATTATAAATGCGAAAGTAACTCTGTCTGTCTGTCTGTCTGCTCCTCTTTCACGCCTAAACGGCTGAACGGATTTTGATGAAATTTGGTATGGTGATAGATGATAACCTAGAAATGGTCATAGGCTATAAATAATCACGCCATCGTTCTTAGGGGGTAGGCAGTAGGCAGATAACTAAATTGAGTTAGTGATTTTTAGTCGTTTTTGTTGGGACTTTTGCTCTTTCACGTATAAAAGGCTGAACAGATCTGTAAGGTAATAGATGGTTACCTAAAAACGGATATAAGATCAAAATGATCACGTCATAGTACTTAGGGGGTAGGAAGTAGGCAGAAAACTGAATTGAGTTAGTGATTTTTTTATGGTTTTTGGTGGGAATTTTGCTCTATCATGCCTAAACGGCTGAACGGATTTTGATGAAATTTAGTTAGGTGATAGATAGTAACCTAGAAAAGGATATGGGCTATTAATATTCATGCTATCGTACTTAAGGCGTAGGCAGTAGGCAGAAAACTAATTAAGTTAGTGATTTTTAATAGTTTGGTTTAAAAGTTTACCTCATTCACGCCTTAACGTCTGAACGGATTTTTATAAGACTTGGTTAATATAAAGATAGGATCCTAGACACGGACACAGGCTACTTCTTACGGCGGGAAAATACCTCATTCCCGCGGAAATCTAGCGTGATCGTGTCAAGAAGCGAATGACGCCATAGCTACTGAAATGATTTTGATGTTTTTTTTTAAATGAGTGTTACTAAGACTTAAAGTTAGTATTTGATCACTTTTCTAACTTAGAGGGTCGGTAGGCGCCATAATTTAGGGAATTTATTATAAAATTTTGATGCATCTGTCTTTATTTAACAGTTTTACTTGGATCGAAACTTAGCGACATACCATCACACTACTTAACTTATAGGGTAGGAAGGTACCAAAATTCAGACTACTTTTTACTTCGGGAAAATATCTCATTCCCACAGGAACCTATACACAGCTACCTATCTACAACATTAAAACTCTGTCTAGAATCACATTACGCCATAGCTATTGATCTGATTTGTATACGATTTTTTATTCAACTGACTGTTAAATTACATACAGATAAAATCTAATTACCTACACCACAGAATTAATATAGTACTACATAACTAGCTACGCTTTAAACTTGAGGAGGTAATTAGATAGACATTTATACGAACTTTATGCTCAGTAATCAATCATAGTGATAAGTTAATACTCATTTTAGACAAAGAAACGGATAGGTAATCAGTTCATCACCGAAATTATAACACCTACACTTAGTTTGTTTACTATTCAACGAGGGAAAATAATTCAATATAACGCAAACCTTCAAATCATACGTCGTCGTAGTGAATACAAGACGCTGCGCCGAGCGAAGAGGCGGTGCGGCGCGAGGGGAGGGCCGTGCCCAACTGTGCCTACCCAAGCGGGCAGACGCTAGGGATGCTCGATGTTGCAGAAACATCGATGATGACATCGATGTTGATATCGATAGCTTAACATCGATGTTCAATGTTTATCGTACTTAAAACATCGATGTTGGCCATTATCGATGTTATTGCACATGTACCTACTACCTACCTAATTAGTAGGTTAAAATTAGATAAACAAAAAAAATTATAGTGTAGTTTATAGTTTATTATTAAAGAAATTTATAAAACATTTAGTTCTAAATAGTAATTTAAAAAATGGGCAAAACTTAACAAATGTTTAGTTCATTTGTTATATTTTTTGCCGATAATGATTAATGTTATTATTTTGATCTTCAAATGTTCCTATACAACCAAAAATCTACGAAAAAATTTACTATGAGACCTAATTAATAATTTACTCAAAAAACAGCTAAATATAATTGGATTGTGTATATTTATACTGTTTCAAAATTATGTGTGTATAGACAGCAAGAGAAAAAACATTATTTTTATATCAATTTATGTAGAATAGTTATTAGGTGACAATGATACCACAGAATAACAAAGCGAAAGCAGTGACATTACGGTTCACACTTGAGAGGGAGTTTGACACAACATAATGATATTTTTCAGGTGATTGATGCCTTTAAGAATCCTAAATTATTTAAAATTTTAAACCTTAAATAGGAGATGAAATATTTAGTTGATATTGATTTCGCGGGTTCGCATTGTTCACAAGTTTTTATTAATCAATTATTGGCTCATTGACATCGATGTTTCGATGTTTGAGATGTTGTATCATCGATGTTACGATGTTTAGCATGTGGTAACATCGATGTTAAAACATCGATGTTTTAATTTCTAACATCGATGATCATCGAACATCGATGATCATCGAACATCCCTAGCAGACGCACGAGGGCAGACGTCGTCGTCGCACGTATGCGAATATTGAAATATTGCGTTACGAAACTCTATTCGTTGCGTATTTTTGGTTAGCTAAAAACGTTCTTTTTAAATTCAGAGTTGAAATAGGTACTACGGTCTACGCGTAGGGTCTGTAAGCTTTAATTTAGTCCTTTGTTTTAGATATCTAAATAAATATTTGGTAGGTTATTATTTTTGAGTCCAAGTTGACGTCATTTTCGTATTTTTATTAAGTACTTAGTTACATTTTTATTATTAGGTAGTTAAGGTAGCTGTTAGATGTAGGTATTTTCTTAACCAATCATTCATATCTCTAGGTTTACTCAGATACGTATTATTCTTTATTTTTTGCAGTCGCTTTCATTTGTTAATTCTCAATTTTATTCATGTGTAGGTTAAGTGTTTTTTAGCTCACATCAGGATGTTTATAGTTCGTAGTAAATTAGTTTAGTAATAGATTTTGTCATTATATTATAGTACTTTTATGTTAGTTTTGATAGATAAGTAGGTAGTACCAGTAGTGAAGAAAATTGTGTATTGTGGTGTGGTACATAAATTCAATATTTTTGAATTTATTTAGTTAATTTAGGTTTTAGGTATAAAAGGTTTGTCAGG